GGGGGGGGGGGGGGGGGGGGGGGGGGGGGGGGGGGGGGGGGTTGTGCCCCGTACCCGTATCCGTCCGGCCTGGTGCTGGCGCCGACCGCGGTGTTACGTGTGCTTTTGTTTCCTCTCCTTGTCGTATCGCATTGCTGCTGTTGCTGTTGATGGTGATAATGAGAAGATTGTGTTGCTGTTGTTGCTGTTAATGATGATGGTGATGATGATGATGATGAACTATGTTGCTGTTGTTGTTGATAATGATGGCAATGATGATGAGACTATGTTGCTGTTGCTGCTGCTGTTGTTGTTGATGATGATGGTGTGTTGTTGATTTGTTGTTGTTCCTGATGGTTGTTCCTGTTGCTGTTGATGGTGATTATGACGATGTCGCCGCCGTCGCAGTCGTTGCTGATGCTGATGCTCATGATGAATGATGATGGTGTTGGTATTCCTGGTGGTTGTTGTTGTTGTTGCTGTTAATTGATGGTGATGATTATGATGATGAACTATGTTGCTGTTGTTGTCGATAATGATGGCGATAATGATACGACTATGTTGCCGTTGTTTGTTGCGTCTGCCCACCGCCGCTGGTCGTGGTGCGGTTCGGTGCGATCGGTCGGCCGCGTGTCTCCCCCAGGTCTCCGAGCACGATGCCCGCCGCGGCGTCGGCCCCCGTCACCAAGGTGTCCACCCTCTCCAATGGCGCCAAGGTCATCACCCGCGAGAGCGGCCAGCTGGTATGTAAAATGATGTGCGGACCACGAAAAACGAGGACGAGATGAGCACGATGGTTGTTGATGTTGTTGTCGTTAGGCGGTATTTTGTGTTTGTCGCGGTTGCTGCTGCTGCAGCCGCCGTTCATGTTGCTGTTTTTTGTTGTTTTTTGTTGTTTTTTGTTTTTCAGGGAGCAACCGTCGGAGTGGTGGTGGCCTCGGGCTCGAGGGACGAATCGGTGTCGCAGTCGGGGGCCTCGCTCCACCTGGAGGGCATGGCCTACAAGCTGACCGAGGCGCGCTCTTCCATCCGCCTCATGAGGTAAGCTAAGCGTGGCATTCATGTCTTCGCCTGTTATTATCCGCTGACCGGGGAGGAGGGGGGAAGGCAGTCTATCTCTACTGCTGTCTCCCCCTACATGCCGACGGTTTCGTGCACGTCGCCATCATAGGTTCTGCGTGTCACGTGTGATGCAGCAATGTCTGTTCCGTTTGTTTTGCGTTGCTGTGTATGGCATGTGCATGATCTCTTTTCTTTGCCTGACGTTGCAATGTAGGGTGAATCAAATCTCTCGCTCATTCAATGATATCGGTTATGTCTTCCTCCTGCTCTTGGCCATATGACCACCCAGGGACGTGGAGAACGTGGGAGGGAACCTGGCTGCCTCGCGAGGGCGAGAGAAGGTGAGCGTGTGCTTTTTCGGCCGATGCATCAGCCGTTTGTTGCCGGTTTGTGGTGTAGACGACGTCGGGCATGGGACATTTTCATGTCTAAATCAGCGTCTTATGGCGCGCCGTAGAGGTGGACTTCGTCTTCCAATTGATGGTTGTCGTGTTTTTCCCTCGAGCTGTTTGTGCCCTCCCGCCCTGCCCTCGTTGATACCGAGTAACACTGTCACGCTGTTTCCCCCTTTTTTCTGGAGTAGTTTGTTTTGCCGTGTACACCACTGCTTTCATCCCTCACGCTCAAGGTTGCAGCTCCCCTTGTGTCCCTACCCCTGACGAGCGCGCTTTGTATGCCTCTTACCTCTCTTGGCGTTACCGTTCGTCCCAGATGGTGTACGTGTCGGAGTGTCCCCCCGACTCAGCGAGAACGGTCTTGTCGGCGCTGGCGGAGTCCGTGGTCTCGCCTAAGATCGTGCCGTGGGAGATGAGCGATGCTTCGGTGAGGCGGTGTTTAATCTTGTGGGTGTGCTTTTAGGATGCGCTTACAGGCTGCTGGCCGCTGAATGTGTAGACTATTTGTATGCATAGCGTGATGGAAAAAACACGAGCACTTTCTAGTCAACGGGTAAGGGTTCTGGCTATGTGTATGTGTGTGCGCATCTGTAGAGTTCGCATCGACCGCGCTCACCGGCAGGCTAATTTAAGGACGTCAGTCTCAGCGAGACTGAAAACCGAAATGCTTCCTGCAGACCATCATCTCTATCTTCGTGCGCATGTGAGTTTTCGTCGCATCCATTTTGGCGCCAGCTTCCACATCTCTCGCTGTATATGAGTGACGTATCAGTCGGGGCTGTGGGCACACAGGAGAAGAGCCACACAGGAGGAGTGCTTTTTTTTGCTTTGCTTTTGTGCCCCACCTTTCCTCATGCGGTGCTTGCTTCAGGTGTTATTAGGACCAGGTGTAGAGGCTACGAACGGACGCAAATGTTGTCTGGCAGGCTTTGACCACAACTGTCACTGTTGTTGTATATACCATGACTTTATTTATTTCAACCTCTAACGGGTTACTTTTTATCCCGAACGGGCTGTCTCTCGGTATTTATTATGCTCACACTGATTGGCGTGGTTGTCATTTATGGAGCAGTGTCAACACTGTTCGGTTGTTTTTTTTGTATTGTTTACCGCTAGAGCCATTCCTATAGCGTGTGCGGCGCCGTACTGCTGCTGCTATTGCTGCTGCTGCTGTTCCTGCTGCCGCAACTGCTCCTCCTGCTACTGGTGCTCCTCTTTCTGCTTTGCTTGTCTTTTTTTACGCTTGCAACCACCCTGAACCCTCGCCGCCCTCTGCATGTCGCCGTCCATGCTTGAACGATCACCGCCACCAGGCAAAGCTGTCCGAAATCATCCTGCAGCGCCACGGGGAGTCCACCGCCGAGCAGGTAGATGACGCCCTCCACGCCGCGGCCTTCGGCGACGCGCTCTCCCTCGGGAAGCCCTTGACCCCGGGCCTCAGCTCCCTGTCCGCCGACGGCCTCAAGGAGTTCCGCGGAGCCAGGTGCGTCGCGGGATACATGGTCCTTTCACTTGTTACTTTGTTTTTGCCTCCGTGCTAAAGTCTGTTTGTTGTATCGTGTCTTCCGAACGTCTTGTCGTCGTGTATTCGGCCAGTTTTTGTTGCCGTGTCGATTCTCATGCCCCGCAGTTTGCGATATGGAAGGCTATGTTTTTCATTGGGGTTAGGTCAATGTAAAGGGTGATCGGGTGTGTTAAGGACGCTTCCATCAGGCAATTTTGCTTCCGTCGCTCCCTCCAAGTGCTACACTACAATGGCGTTCATAGTTGGGTCCGGTCTGCCGTATACAAGCCAAGCCATGGGAAGTACAGATGCTGCAAGCCCAACACCCCACGTTGTTACAGAATACTCTCATTGATGTGTGTGTGCGGGTTGCTGATATTCTCGAGAGGCCCCCTGGACACTAATTTCGTCAACATATCTCCTGGTTGACATGTTTTTTTCCACAGGTACAAGGCTCCGGGTATCACCGTCATCGGCGTCAACGTGCCCCACGAGGACTTCAAGAGCCAAGCCGAGGTGTGGAATGCATGGGACGATGGGCTGAGGGGCACCCATGCTTTGCATGCCTTAGCTGTTAGACCGTTGACCACGTGTCCTCGAGAGTGTCCTCGAGAAGACGAAGCATGCAAGGGTGGTGGGGGGTACAGATAGACACACACACGAAGGGTGCGTTTCTGGTACTATGCATTCAGTATAACAGAGATTGCACGAAAGTAGCACTTTCGGGACGGGTTTCGGATGACTGCGGGGGGTTCAGTAGGTTCGCGAAACGGGGATTGGAGGAGGGGGGTTCGAGGTTCACCACTCTGTGTATCTACTTTGTGGTTGGCCGCCTGTCTGGAGAACCTCGCATCCCGAATAACCGGGACACCGCGAGACGCCCCTCAGGCGGGAAAGAGCAGACAGACTGTGTTGGTTGGTGTACGGGACCGGGTGTCACGACCAGGCGGGCAGAAGAAGGCAACAAACGCTGCATTGGGTTTTTATTTGCGCGGCTGCGCAGATACTCGAGCGAGAGACCTCTCTCGGCGAACAGAACACTATATAGCTGTTGTTGTTGGTGTTGGTGGTGGTGGTGGTGGTGTCGGTGGTCTTGACATATAGAACCGTTCCGATCTTTGCTCATTGCCCTCCAACACCCGTACAAGTAGCTTGTCCAGCTATGACGCGCGCGCCTTCGGCGATCGTAGGCCCAATTCCACCCCGAAAGACCGAAAGGGCACAACATGCAGCACGACCAAGGACTTTCAAGACCCCACCCGCAAGACGTGTCTGGTTGAGTGTGGTTACATTTCCCCCCCCGATTCCCGTCCAAACCCCAATACCGAACCGAAACTGCTTTCCCTGCCTTTTTTTTTGGGGGGGGTTCAGGCTGCTCTCGAGGCCGCGGACTCGTCCGCCCCCGCCGCTCGCTCGCCCGCCAAGTACGTCGGGGGAGAGCTCAGGGTCAAGAGCGACGTGGGGTCCACGAGCGTGTCCATGGCTGTCGCGGCGCCCTCCGGCTCGGACGCAAGTGAGTGGATCACTGTTGGTGTACCATCAGGGTTAGCCCCAATAGCGGGTCACCTCGATGGACTGTCAACGTTGATACTACTATGATTGTCTAGAGCTATGGCATCTGTTCTTTCTGTTATTGCCTTTGTTTTTTTCCTCTTTCGCCGGGCCCCCGGGCTCGGATGCAAGTGAGTGAGTGCGTCACGAAATTTTGGTGTCTGCTTTTTCCGCAGCGCATGACGGGGAGGAGGGATGTCATATGTTCTTCTTTGCGGCGGTCTATCTCGGTGCTCTACGGTGGCGTTTACGGTCTTTGTCTTTTGTCTGCTTGTCTACGCCAGCGAGTTGTGGCTGTCGAGACTCCAGACTCTGGACTCTTGTTGTGAGCCCGGGACTTTCGGTTTCGGATCGTGGGTGATTCGGCACCCCTACCTACTTGAACACACCTGAAAAAAAGGCTAAAAACGTCAATAATCCACATTTTTGTTGTTTTTTGTCAGATTCCCCAGAGAACGCGGCCGTCTCACGGTGCATTAACGAAGCCACGGCGTGGTGGCGTGTGCATTTTTTTTAACATTTTGTTTTTTTTTCAGGTGCCCCGGCCTACGAGGTGCTCGGAGCCCTCCTCGGCGCACGCGCCGCGGCAGCCGCCCCCTCCGCCTCTGGGTTCAGCGTGTTCTACACGGACGCCGGGCTCGTGGGCGTCACCGGAACCTGCCCCAACGGGCAGGTGGGAGCGCTGTCGCAGGCGCTCGCCTCTTGCTTCTCGGTGAGTTGCTAGCTGCTGCTGTAGGTGCCGTCTCGCTCCCTGAAAGGTTTCGTGTTTTTCCGACCCAAGGTGTGTTTTTGTGTAAGCGTCGGCCGTGCTGACAGGCTGACCAATGATAAGATGCTAATTTCTGTGCGGCTGACAACGAAAATGCTTCTAGAGGTCATTATCTGGGACCCCCTGATGGTGTCTGTTATTATTTCTCCGGCGCAGGGGGGGGAGGTGTGTGTGTGAAAGCGGTATCGATACGGACGGGAAGGCGGGGGAGCGATACGTGAGGATGGTCTTACGTGGAGGTCGTTTGTATCAGTGCCATGACGACATGCTCCGAAGCAGAGGGTGCGATGATAAGGAATCTTTCGGGTTACGTTACGCGTAGTTTCCATTCGTGCCATTATTCGACAACAGCCTGTAAGAGCCTGTAGTATCCCCCTCCCCCGTAATGTCTCCGTTTTCTCTCTAGGAGCGGTGCTTGCGCATGGTGCTTGCCCCGTTTCGAAAACCAAGCAATACAAATTCACTCCCGCCCGCCGCCTGCTCTGTCTTGTCGAGGGCAAACTGTGGTCAATGGTCTAACCTCTAAGGCATGCAGAACACGAGTACCCCCCCCCCCCCCCCCCCCCCCCCCCCCCCCCCCCCCCCCCCCCCCCCCCCCCCCCCCCCCCCCCCCCCCCCCCCCCCCCCCCCCCNTCAATGGTCTAACCTCTAAGGCATGCAGAACACGAGTACCCCCCCCCTCCCCTCCCCCCTATGATGTGCTAGCCTTGGCCAGCGATAACCCGGCGTATCGCCCCGTCCTGGCATGCGACGCCAATGGTCAAACGACTACGGCACGCGTTTACATTAGTACCCCCTCCCCTCCTGCCCCCCCCCCCCCCC